TCAGCTTTATCCAGACAAGTTGAGCAATAACGCATTTATTGTCATCTGTCTAACACTGGTGGAAGATTTTCAAGTTCATATCCTTCACTTTTTTAATAATTTCATCAGCTGAAGAGGTCGTACAGAATGAGGCGCGTCTTCAACGATCTCTCGGCCATCTTTTAAGGCTTTGTACCACTCGTAGACGTTTGTTTTTGATAAATTTGAATCACTGTAAGCCTTTTCCAACTTTTGCACTGATCTCGCACTCGAAATTGGGGTAGAAATACATAATTTGAGACAAATTCTTTGTTCAATACTTTTATCCATTGCAAAAATCGCAACGCACGACTTATGAGTACCAATTCAAGCAGCTGCTGTAAACAAACTGGTTGACAAATTGCGCTCCTATTTTGCAAGGTAATTAAGGGCACTCCTAAAAATTTTTATGGAATAGCGTTTACCGAAGAATTTAATTAGAATTTCCGGCTGCTTTTTTGTCACAATGTATTTGAGCCAGGGCAATATTTTCAATGAAATATTTATCTAAATTATCCCTAACCTTAAAAAAATCATACACTGTTTGAAAAAATTATAAACTTGGTTTCTGCAACTATGAAATATTTCCAACCGAATAGATTATCATGTCACGTTTACTCTAAATATAGCGAAAACTAGCAAATATCGCGCAATTGTACTATCGGTGTAAGCGCAGTGAACTTCAACTGTTAAGCTTTAGGATTTACAGCAGCCGTTTGTAGTTAGTTTAAGGCTACTCTTAGTTTTGGAGRGCGATTGTTAGCAGAAGAATCAGAGTTAAGATTTCTTGCGTTGCTACGGAATTAGGTAGTCGGTTATCGGATACAAAAAAGGAGAAGAAAGGCGACATAAATAACACATTCTCATTCCTAAATAGTGAAAACAACTTCACGGAAAAGGTCGCAAGGTCTGTCAAGCAAACCGTTGCCGTTTTCGGTCCAGAACTGTTGGCAGGATTTTCAAAATTGTTTGGAAAATGTTTGCTGCCACTACAGATTAAGTTAGCAGCGCTTATCAGGCGCACTGGAGTCTCATAGGTACAGCGATAGAGTGAAAGAAGACATTGGAAAACTGAMTCGCTTCCTTTCGTATGTAGARGCATCTGACAGAATATTTAGCTGCATCGAGTGTGAACCCATTGGACACTGCCAAGTCAGTAGACTAACAATTGTGGCCCTGCCAGTACTTCGAGGGACTTCAAACGGTATACTCTGAGCCAGAAGGATAGAAAGATCTCACAGTCGCACAAGTTCGAGCTGTTGACCAACGCTTGCTGAGCTCTGTGGATGTCCAAAAGTACAACGCCAAAACGCAAGTGGTCAACGTAATATCGGCTTAGTTCCAATTTGATGAAATTGCCACACTTTCGTTCTTCCGCTACAACAGCAACAACAAAAATCGATGTATCGTTTGGATAATAATGACCTAATCAACGGCTAATATATTTTTTTTATGGATTTAGCATCATTTCCTGCAACACTCACTAATTTTTAACGACAAAGCGCACTGAAAATTCACCACCTCTAACGCACAGATTGCAATTCCACCGATAGYATGCTATAAATATGAAATTTCGTCATTACTTCCTGTCACCCTGTATAAAATTATGCTTGAGTGTGTGTGTGTGTATGAAAGCGTGTGTGTGTGTGAAAAAGGTCAAACTTCCTGCCTTAAACCTCAGCAACTTCAACATGTCGGACGCTTGCCAACACTGCTTAGATGAACACACGCACACACACACATATATATATGTATATATACACACATACATGTAGGTATATGTGCAGCGTGCTCGTCAATGCCATTGGCCCATGTCCTGCTCCGTAGCATTACTTTTCTTCCAGCTACAAATTGTAATTGATGAGCAAAAACCAAAAAGTAATAAAAAAAAAACAGGGACAGTGAAGTGCAGAAACTTGGCAGCAAAAGTAAAATAAAAAACGTAAACAAAACATTTTATCTCAGCTTACATTTTACTTTGGTTTTATGCTTCTTTCTCTCTCTCAACATTTCTTCTACCTGTTTGCATACTTAATAATGTAATGGAAAAGCAAGCAAAAACAAAAATAACTAAAGCAATAACAACGACAACAAGCAATCATTGCAGCGGTGTAAAAAGTGCCATTTGCTCTGCTTGCAACGGAAATATGCACGACATGCAGAAATCTTGCAGTTTTCAGACGGACTTAAATGACTTTCTTGCTTGCTGCTTCTATGCGCAACCAATTATTCCACTTCAATTTAGTGCCGGCACTGGCTTTTTTCTTTAACTTGGATTTTATTTTATTTTATTTTTTTTTTAATTCTTTTATTTAAAAAAATTTTTTTTTTCCTTAAATTTTTTATTTTCGTTTCAATTTTTTTTTTATTCTTGTTCTTGTTGTTTGCACACTGATAACTGTTTTTTGCCATAAATTTTGCATCTGCCACGTTATTAGTTTTCCACCTTTTTTTTCATAATGAACGAAGTGCACACGACTACTCGCGCACACACATACATATAAACATATTGATTATGCTGAAATAACAGTTGGAGTGTTTGATTTATTTTTCTTGGACATGTTTTGTGTGGCAGCGTTGCTTTTGCGCTTTTACCGTAAACTTGATTAATTACTCTTCGGTTGAATCTCGGATTTCTAAGTTTTCATTTTTTGCTACTTTTGCGTTTATTTCTGTTTTTCAAAGTGTTTGTTATTCATTTGCTTAGTTTTTATTTCTATTTTTGTTTTTTTTCTAAGTTGCTTTTTTTTCAAAGTGTTTTTTTTTCTACTAAGTTTCCCTATTTTTCTAAGTTTCCCTTATTTTTCCAAGTTTCTCTTTTTTCTAAGTTTCTCTTTTTTTCTAATTTTCCATTTGTGTGTTTTCAAAGTTTTTTGCTTTTTTCTGTCTTTCTAAGTTTTTTGCTTGCAGCTTCTAATGTGCTTAGTTGTGAATTAATTAACCGTTTGATTGCATGGCGTGGTCGGCACGGGTGGACTTATTTCAGTTTTAGCATCCTTCAACTGTTTACTTACCGCTTCGACTTCTTTGAAAACGCGTATTAAATTTTTCCCCGCCACTTTCGCTATATCCGCCTCGGTCCACTTGTCGGACTCAAGCAGTGCCGCAAACAGATGTGGATATTTCGAAACGTCCTCCAGTCCTTTGGGTACGCTACATAGGTACATGTAAAGAGATTAGGTAAAAGAAATAAGTACTTTAATATRAAATTTATTTTTCTGAACTTAATTATGATACTTCATAATTAAATAAATCAACATTTTAATTGTTTASAGCATAAACTATTATACAAAAAGCCCCGCTTAGCCCGCACTAATTCGCAAAAGTCGCGGAGACTGGACGGATAACTGCCAGAGCACATTAGAAGACCTARTCAGTTTTCTAGGCTGTAAGGACATGGTAGTCCTAGTAAAGAAGAAGGTAGTGCAGCAAACGCCATACTCATGGAAAAAGGCTAGGGTAGATTTCATACCGGAAGCAAATAACTACTCAACATACTCAAAAGAGTTTAGGCCTCTAAGCTTACCTTTCTTCCTGCGGAGCACGTTAGAGAAAATTTTGGACCTCATATTAGGGTCGCAGCGCCTCTTAGAAGCTTGTCCACCAGCACGCATATACGATGGACAGATCGGTATTTAATATCGAAAGGKAATATGCTCTTGAAGCATTCCTGGAGCGTTCAACAACGACKCTACAAAATCTGTTCTGAACAGTATTCAATGAGTAGTTGTTGGTCGACGTATACAATGCTGCATAGGAAGCCTGTTGACCTCTAGACGAACTTGGAAGGCAAGGCCCCCCAAGATAATGGTGCTAATGGTAGCAGAGCTGCTTTCTTTMACAATCAACGAGATTATGAAAATTGTCCTACGAAGTTTACATCTATGGACCACAAACAACGGACTAGGTGTTAACGCTAGTAAAAGAGAATAGTGCTTTTGATGAGTAATGCCACACCACGATTCATTAGTTCCTTAGTCAGTGGTACAGCAATTACTCTGTACCCTCACGGCGAAATATCTAAGACTTKAAGTCGATATAAAACTCAAAGGAACACCAAATCAGTCATCCTTGTTTGCCTGAAKCCACAAATTAATTTCAACGCAGTTAACAAGTGTAAAAAAGTCTTCGCTTGAATGTTCTTGGCAACAATAAGACGAAMGAGTTGGTAAAACTAGCAGGCTCTTTAGACGAACTCAAAAAGGAGATAATACTATGTCCRCTAGGAACAATCAAAAGAGAGTTTTATAATCATTTTGAACAACGCACACASTGCAAATGGAACACCGGCCAGCTGCAAGATAACAAAACAGCTATTGCCAAATTATAACTGGAATAAAAGTACCTACTATTTGAGTCCAGCAGTAGTATATATGGACTTACAACAACTATAACGAGGGACTGACTTTTTGGAGAGCATACCTTGCCTGAAAATAATATTTGCGGGGCTGCAATCTAGATGGAAACACGGCAACTTTTTTCCACTCTCTTTGTGACTGACCAACTCTATCACAAACCCAAAACAAAATACATGAAAGCCATCAAGTACCAATGGTTGTCCAACAAAAGTATATCGGATATTGGAAAATTACTAAGCAGTAATTATAAAAATTAATATTTTTTAATTTCAAAAAAAAAAAAATGGATGGAGACCCCCCAACGCCTCGATGAACATCGGCAAAATTCTAAATGTCATTATCTCTGTCTCTACACCATAGGCCGAATTTTCTTGAGAAAGTTCTACGGAAGACATACATAATTATATTCTCATAATTCGTTCCTCAAATTTCATTAGTGAATGTGATTTGTATGAACGAGTAAATGAGGAAATTATAGATCATATGAATTATAGTAAAACCAAAACCAAATATATACTATAATTTATATAATTTATTGTAATTGCAATACCTTTTTTTAGGTTATTCCTTAAAATATATATCTTTAAGAGTTAGTAGTAACATTCATTGAAAATAAATTTAAACACTTACAGATTAACACCATCGTAACCCGCACCAATGCCGACATGATCCACACCGGCAACGTCTCTTATGTGATTTATGTGCACTGAAATCGAAATGATAAATAACATAAATAATAATTTTTATTATTAGTGAGAATATATTAAGTAATAAGTAGGATTCAGCTTAAGAAAAAAATGTTATTATGAACTTCATTCCAAATACGAATGACAACATTGATTACGTATACGCCATGTAGCTCCACATTTTAGTTCAACGCTAGACGGTCATTTTGTTTGGTAGCTGTATACCATAGTGAACCAATCTGAACAATATATTCGGAGATTATGGAGTTGTCTTGGACAATAAACATATTACTCATACGCCCCGTCGTRCWAACTTAAMACAGGCATAAGTTTGTGTGGTGATTAAACAAGTAATACGTATTATATAGTACATAACAAGCCTTAAACTAATTTACTGTCTTATCAGGTTTGCCATGTTGTTTTATTTTTTTTGAATATTATATAATGGAAATTAAAAATWAATTTATTAAACTGCTCTGCTGGAAATTGTGATTTATGCCAATAAATATTTGGTTAGACATAACAATGCTGGATGTTAGTCAAAAGCATATTTCATTTTTATTCACCATAAATTATGCACACAAATGCTTTCAGTATTTAATATTTGCTTAATTTAGACAAATAYCGAAATGCTTAAAACCATTAAATAGACTGATTCACTAACCAAATTAGCTAATTCTCGCAATAAAATCGCAGTGAAATTTATGTGCTTGTTATGTGCTTACGTGTTTTCTATGTTTTTATATGACATTAGGGTGTGCCTTATTTCCAAAGCTGATTTTTTTTTTCTTTTTTTTTTTTTTTTAAACGCCACCTGAAGTTGCAGTCTTAGCCCTAAAAGGCATTGTTTAATGTAAAAAAATTCATTATTTTTCAATTTAAGCCGTGCCCAACATGCAATTCTTTGAGCTTTTGCAATACATATTTAATATCCAATGCAAAAACACTAAAAAATTTTGCAAAAATTTATTCTAATACACAATTTTCCGCTCTTCAAGGGCCTTCATGATTTTTTCTTTTGTAAAATCAACTTTTTACACGTTAAATTTATGCATCAAATGTACTGTATGTATATAGTACACCATGTAGTATGAGCAACTATATTCATATGTAGTACACCATTTCGTATRCGTAACTGTAGTCGTATGTATTTAGTACACCTTGTTGTATGAGCAACTATATTATATGTAGTGCACCTTGTCGTATGACAAGCTCCATTCATATGTAGTACACCCTGTCGTATGAGCAACACATAATTTGTGAGACAGCCAATACAATTAAGATCTGACTTTAACCGCGTATAACTTTTAAACGAGTGATGCTACGGAAAAATTCATTAAAAYCTTTTTTATAGAGCGGCACTTTTTAGAATCAAATATGATTTTCTGAAACTTGTATGTTGACTTTTTTAATGCGAAATATCAAAAAATCTCATCGTGTTTATGTGTGAGATCATATCTCATTTAGTGAGTTTAGTAACTCGATCTGAAAAATTTCTTCCGCGATTGCTCTGTTGCCTTGGATAATAGCATATAATTAATTTTGTTAAAACATCTCTTCAAACGAAACAGATTTCAATATAAGTACTTTATGCCAAGCCTTCAGTTTCTATGACRCATGTGCAAAATTTTAGATCGCTAACTCAAAAACTGAGGGACCAGTCCGGTTATATACAGACGCACGGCTRAATTGACTCCGCTGACCCTTTATATGTATGTACTTTATAATGCCTCTAGCGCTTCCTTTTAGATGCTGCAAACATCGTGCCAAAGTTAATATAAGCTGTTCAGCGTATAAAAATCAGCTTTATAAGTAGAAAACACCCTAATGTATATATTACATGAGCTTTTCTTAGTGTGTGCAATGTGTGCCTGTTGTGCAAAACAATTTATGCGACATGCACAGCAATTTGTAGCTTATTAAAATTTTGCATAGCCAATAGATTGAGGTTTTGTACAAATTTTAGGTTTATTGCTGTTGTTGTTGTTATTGTACTCCCACTGGATGTCTTTTTAATGCGATACAACATTTTTCTAATTTTTCCTTTACTATTTTTGTTGGCTTTTTGGCATGCATACACAGCCTCCTGTCGCTTTACAACAATGTCATTTGTGCGCGGAGTAAATACGTATGTTTGTGTGTGTATGTGTGTGTATGTGTGTGCATGCAACGTGCTCTTGGCATATAACAACAGTTGCATCGATTTTGCATTTTATCTGAATATTAATATGATATTGACTTTGGTATTTTATTGCGTATCTGCTACAAAATATGCATAAATTTGTGTGTGTGTGTGTGTGTTTGTATGGATGTGTGTGTGTATGTGTTTGTGTGTTGGCATATAATATACTCATATTTACATACCAATAACATCGTCGAGTGTCGCCTGACTTGAGCAGCTAAGAAAATGTGGATAGAATGCGACCATCACCAGACCGCCGTTGACTGCCTGCAAAGATGCCAAACAAAATAAATGTGTACTCACATACAAATACAAGGCAACTAAACGAATATATACACTATGTAAATATATATTTATTTAAAACACTTTATATAATTGTGTTTGTAGATGTGTGTGTGTTCGTGTTGGAAATATGCAGCCTGCTGCAGTTGCCAGTACTTYCGAGCATTCCATGGCACAACAGAGTCATTTTGCGAGCTACGCGASATACACACACATAAATATCTTACTATGTGTGTGTGTGTGCAATGCGAACAGAGATAAGGGTAGATCAAATCGTCTGCACTGGCTAAGTGTGTCCTTCACAAAATTTAAGCGCTACGAATTTTTTAAAATACTCCTCTGAGGCAGCGACCAACATTTAACGTACGCACATACATATGATACATATACGAATGTATATGCATACCTACAACGCTTTACGCTCCACATGCATCAGCCAAGCAGTCAACTAACTAACCAATTGATTGGGAAAGAGGACACTCGAGAGTAAAGTTGTGCGTTGCTCACTTTTCGCTGTGAAGTTGGTTGCATGAATGCAATATTTTACTGTTTTTTATAYCGCAAACATACCCATCTATGCACCTGTTTGTATGGTGTGTGCTTATAGTACACGAACGTACAAGAAAAGTTCGATAGGCCATTGAGCTTTTAAACTTGCCTCGTTGCTATCTTAAATGCAACACTGTGGTCCACGTAGATGGAACTTAGAGCCTTGAGCTCGCTTCTACAAATTGCTGGGCAATCTAGAAATGCGATGTTCTTCTGTAGTTTTCTGTTCTATGTCGCAAAACCGGCAGTTAGCGYAAGRGAMTATGCYCATGTTGAACAAGTGGTTTCTGAGACTGAAGTGCCTTTTACAGAGCGTGGCAAGAAGACGAAATTCGTCTCAGAAGAGGTTTATAATATCTCTAAATCTTGCAAAGTTCTAGCCTCMCAGTAGTGGCTTGGCGTAGCGCATTCCTGCTGCCAGTGTTGSTCTCTGCTCTATGCAAGGTTGTTGCCCCATCATCTTGGAAGCTGCTGGCTCATTGCCGTCAATATCTTTATACTCCGGCACCCAGATCAGGTATAGACGGTTGCAAACTGTTAAGCGGTTCAGCCTTTCACTGCACTCCTTCACTAATAGCAATTTGACCTCATAAGCTGAGATCATTTTATTGCCTTTGACTATCGCAGAGTTTAGCGATACGCTGATTGCGATAGTTTAGATAGAGATTGATTTCTACACACTGACTTTTTATTGAAAGATGCTCGAAAAATTGCTATAGATAGTTTGGTATGTGGTTCCTCAATACATGATCCGGCGCTCTCGAGTCGTCAGTGTGCCAATGGATAGTGTTGCCCCTCAGTAGCACATCAAGCATGAAATCACTCCACTCCTCCGCCTTACTGCCGAGAGTAAGTCTAAGCTTCTTTGTAAAGTTTACTTTTACGCCGTTCCTTGGAAAAAGGGGCCAGTGATGTGTCTTCTCCTAAGGCCTTCATCTGTTGAGACGAAGATAATGATCTTCGCTTTGCCAAAACCCTCAGCTGCCATGAGCAGCCTGTTTGATCACTAGATGCATGACCGAAGACTGCGTTGATTTCAGTGTCCATGTAACCGCTCCATAAGTGGCAATGGGTCTTAAGATCATGGAATATAACCATTTAATGATACCTGGCTAGAAGGCACAGCATCTGCCGACGAGGCGTCTGCATAWCATGAGTGTCTTGGTGGCTCTGAACTGTGCTAATTCCATCTGCCTATTCCACYGTGAGTGTCAACTATATTGAGTTTAATGTGAGGAAGGAATGTGACCTCTTTAGTTACCTACAACTCCCAACCACCAAGTGTTAGGGGCCTCAAGCTCGGAAGAGACCTTCGCTTTGTTAAAGGGACGATGGTTGGTTTTGACGGGTTGATTATGACAATGTGATCGGCATACACCTTGCTCCGAATCCCCTTTAAGGAACTCATCCACTACTAAACTCCATTGTAGTACAAAGACAAATCTTGCTCTCCCCCATAGTGGGTTCAACTATTATGGTTCGCAGAACAACCTCTATTCATCTGCATACTGGAGCCGCTACCTTTCTTCAAAAGCACCTTCGTTGTCAAARAAGTTATATATCGCAACCACGTCATTTTCAAGCGCGTTCTGAAGTTCAGTCGCATGAAAAGAGAATAGATAAAGATTGGGTTTGTAAAGTAAGGTTAGGTCACGTTAGGTTCGACCGAACACTTATCCTACTATCACTATTATCTTGCCGGGAATTTAGTATGCCGCAGAACTGCTATGACAGAGCCACTGGCTTTTACATCGCAAATTTCATATTTGACCGTGTTGTCATAGGGTTCACCAATTTCATCAATCTATCGGGCTTTTCAGTCGCCCAAACTTTCTAATCCAACTCAATGTGTATTGCAAATATCAGCTATTCGATGAATGGAAAAAMACACCACAGCTCTCAGAATGTTCGACGCAGTACCCATCGGGGGAAGCAGAGGAAGGAAAGGAAGACCTCCTCTCCGTTGCACAGACMAGGTGGAGAAGGACCGGGCTACACTTGKAATCTTCAATTGGTGKCAAACAGCGTGAAGAAAGWACCGGATATAAGTCGTAAACTCGCCTATAACCGCTTACAATACAGAAAGCATTTAATTTCAATAAATATGCCGAAACAGCTTAGTGACTTCTCAAGCCACACTCGTACTCTCGCGCATCTCCTAAAAGTATACTCTTATTTAGATAAGTGTGTGCGCGGCCGCAAAATATTTTCCCTCTGCGGGCTCAATCGAGAAGAACCCACCGGTGTGTAGTTATATTGGCGCATTGCTCGTAACTTGCGCGCAAAATGAATTCAAATGCAATGGCATGAAAATGAAATGCCAAACTAGTAAAAGTACTGAAAATTGCGAAAAACAAAAACAGGACTAAGATATCTGGGGAGTAAAACTTAAAAAAAAAAAACAAAAAAAAATACGTAAAAAAACAGCAACGGCATGTAAAAACTTGTGTTAAATGGCGAATAAACAAGAATGGCAAAAACTTACAATTTTCTGCAGGACATGATCTGGCACATTGCGCGAACTGTTGCATATGGCATGCGCGGAGGAATGCGAGAATATCACAGGCGCCTTCGAGGTGCTCAACGCGTCCAACATTGTGGGCACCGAGACGTGCGACAGGTCGACAATCATGCCCAGTCGATTCATTTCATGCACCACCAACTAAGTTGCAGCAACGAGTCGGCAAAAAATATGAAAAGAGACGAGAAATGTAAGCGAAAATATAAATCAGCGGACCAAAAACAAAACAAACAAACACGTAGAAAAAAGAAACTGCTATGCAGCGACAAAAATTGGTTTGCTGAGCTGGAAAAAACACGCTGTTGCAAACTGTGTAAGAACGAGCAGATAATGGAGGAAATTAACGGAAGGTCTGTGTGTGTGTTTGCTTATGAATGAATTTTCAATGAATTATGTGATTTGGAAGTCAAATAAGTAACAAATATTGGCAAAAGCGGAAAAAAATTTTAATGAACGCAAATTTTGGAAAATTTTAATTAAATTTACTTAAAAAAAATCAATATTATTTAAAAAAAAAAATTAATTAAATTTGATCACTTCGGTTTTCCAAACATATCCAGAAGATATTTAATTTTTAACTTTTTTATTTCCGGTCAATGTTATACCTATTTTTAAGTACTGGAACAAACCCAGTCTCTAATTTTTAAATTTTTCAAAAGCTTCTCAAACTATTTGGAAAATATAATTAACTTTTTTCTTCTACAATTTTCCTGTTTCCAAATGAAACGCATACACGAATA